AGGGGACCGGCACTCAGCATATGGAGAACCCACGCTGGCACTGGTCTCTGAGTTCCCTCAGTATTTATTGATCACTATCTCTACCATCTCGGTGAGGAGGATGCGGCAGGACTACAGGGTAATGGTGAGGAGAGGGTCAGCAGGAAAATAGGTGAGCAAAGATCTCTGTGTCATAAGTCAGTTTAAGGAAAGGTGCTGTGCCTCGATGTGCACGTAGGCCAGATTTATGTCTGACTTTACACAAACATTTTAGTGCAGTAAAGAGCAGTATTGCTGCCAGTATGTCTCACCTCCAGCCATAAGGCGGTTTTCTCCTATCTCAGTAAATAGAACGTATGATCGGGTTTTACACTGAGACATTCCATTCCCAGGGACAAACAGGAGACAGATGACTTCCTCTTATCTCAACTGCAAAGCGGCTTTCCTCTTTCACTACTCCTCCTCAGCACAGACCCTTTACGGGTGTGGGGCTGGGGGACGGTCAGGTCTTTCACTTCCCATGAGGCCATATCTCAGGCTATTACATGGGGAGAAACCTTGGACAATACCTGGCTTTCCTAGGCAGAGGACCCTGCGGCCTTCCACAGTGCATTGTGTCCCTGGGTACTCCACGTTAGAGAATGGCGATGACTTTTACCAAGCATATTGCCTTCAAACACCTTTTTAACAAAGCACATCCTGCATAGCCCTAAATCCATTAAACCTTGAATCAACATAGCACATGTCTCTGCGGGCCCAGGGTTGGGGCTAGGGTTATAGATTAATAGCATCTCAAGGCAGAATTTCTTAGTACAGAACAAAATGGAGTTTCTTATGTCTACTTCTTTCTACATAGACACAGTAACAGTCTGATCTCTTTCTTTTCCCCACAGAATTACATTTTAAAACATATACCAACTATTTTTCAAACTGCTAAAAAAAGTAAACAACATGTTATATACTAAATGCTTAGTATACCATGAACAATCACATTACACTTCCAAGTAAAATCATTTATAGGCAGAGGTAGGTTGGAACCATTTTTCCACAATTTAGCTTAAGGAGTATATCCTGAATTGGCATTTTAAACAACATAGAGACTTCCTCCTCAGGATGTAGAAAGTTGGAAGTGTTGATTTCACCCTGTAGTAAAAAAGGAGCAGGACTAACTTCAAATTTAAGACTTTCTGAAAACTCTCAGGAGACCTGAGGTTTCAGAGAAAACAACTGGTCCAAAATCTCCTCTACAGAAAGAGATGACACAAGCCCACTTGGGGTAGTTCATCTAAAATAGCTGACAAACTGGTGAAAGTCGAGTGCAGAATAAGGTGAAAGCCCTGAGGCTGAAACCCCTGGAGAGGAGACCACATCCTCTTACAGGCTCTTCTTCCAGGAACTCCACCTGGCACTCACAGAAATAAAAAGAACCTATGCATTGTGGTGGAGACCTAGGGGAGGGGAATGTTAGCTATGCATGAGGGACAGAAACTCTACCAGGATCTTTCCCTTCTATATCTACTATAGAACAAAATTCCTTAAAAAAACACAAACTATCAAACTCACACAAGAAATTGTCTGGCCGGGCGCGGTGGCTCAAGCCTGTAACCCCAGCACTTTGGGAGGCCGAGAGGGGCGGATCACGAGGTCAGGAGATCGAGACCATCCTGGCTAATACGGTGAAACCCCGTCTCTACTAAAAAATACAAATAACTAGCCGGGCGAGGTGGCGGGTGCCTGTAGTCCCAGCTACTCGGGAGGCTGAGGCAGGAGAATGGCGTGAACCCGGGAGTCAGAGCTTGCAGTGAGCTGAGATCCGGCCACTGCACTCCAGCCTGGGCGAGAGAACGAGACTCCGTCTCAAAAAAAAAAAAAAAAAAGAAATTGTCCTATATATAATGCTACATTTTAAAACTTAAAATATCCAGGCCCCAATGTTTTACTGGCAAATTTAGCTTCTATGCAACCTCTTCAAGAAAATAAGAGAACACATACTACTCAACTCATATTATGAGGCATTATTCCTAAACTGAAACCAGACAAAGACATTAGAAGAAAATAGTCCAGCATCCCTAAAGAATGCAAATGCAAAAGTCACCCCCCCACTCCAAATTTTACAAAACCAAATCCAGCAACACATAAAAATGAAACTACAGAGTTCATTCAAGGAATGCAAGGCTGTCTCAATAGTTAATGTAATTCACCAAATTAACAAACTAAATTTTAAAAACTATATTGATCATCCCAAGAGATAAAGAAAAATAATTTGGAAAACTTCAACATTCATGACAAAAACTCTCAGCAAACTAGAATTTGAGGGGAGCTTCCTTAACAGAAGGCATCCATAAAAAGCTACAGCTAACATTCTACTTAATAGTGAAAAACTCAATTGCTCCAAGATCAAAAACTAGGCAAAGATACCACCTGTTATCACTCCTACTCAACATTATACTGGACTTCCTAGAAAGTTTATAGCCACATAATAGCACCAAAAAAACTCAAAGTACTTAGGTATAAATCTAACGAAATATGTACATGATGAAAGGAATTTTAAAAACCTAGAGATATATTCTATTTATAAATTTGAAGACTCAATGTCGTTAAGATGTAAATTCTCCCTTACTTGATCTACAGATTGAAGGCACTTAAAATCCCAGCAAGCTGATTCTAAAATTTATATGGAATGGCAAAGAAACTAGAATAGCCACAACAATTGTTGGAGGGTTCACACTATGCTATTTCAAGGTTTACCACAGTAATCAAGGTGGAGTGAAAGGCAGGCATGTTGGCTTATGCCTATAATCCCAACACTTTGGGAGGCTGAGGCAGGCAGATCACTTGAGGCCAGGAGTTCGAAACCAGCCTAGCCAAAATAGTGCAACTCTGTCTCTACTATAGCCTCACGTGGTTGCACATGCTGTATAATCCCAGTTACTTGTGAGGCTGAGGCATGAGAATCACTTGAACCAGGGAGGTGGAGGTTGCAGTGAGCCGAGATCGCATCACTGCAATCCAGCCTGGGTGACAGAGCAAGATTCTGTCTCCAAAAAAAAAGACAAAAAAAAAATAAATAAATAAAACGTGTGTGTGGGGGGGTGATATAAGCAAAAGAATAGGCATACCAGTAGAACACTACAGTAATAATTGTTTCAGGCAAGATTCATTGATTAATGCTAAAATTACTAGATGAAACTTAAAAACTGGATATTTTTATTACCTCAAAATATCTCTCCCAAAATTTACTGATTACTACTGTGGTGGTTTCTCCAGAAAGCAAAGATTAATTCTTTTCCCTTGTGGCTATAAACTTCTATAAACTTAGTGATTCACTTCTAACAATGGAAAGGAATAAATATTAAACTATATAGAGTAGAGAAACCTAGCAAACATCACCTTAATTAAGTACTATAGACTTAGTAGTACTAAATGCAATGAGAAATACATAATGTAAAGGGAAAGACACATAACTTCTGTGGTATGCTTCCCCAAAATTCATAACCTCAGGCTAATAACAAGGAAACAATGAACAAACAACTGAGGAAATGTGAATAAAATCTGTAGTTGATAGTATCAGTGTTAATTTCTTAGTAAAATATTGACATATAGGAAGCTGAGTGGAGTACACAGCACTCTTGTGCTACCTTTGGAACGGTTCTATAAATCTTTATAAAATTATTTTAAAATTAAAAGCTAAAAAAGTTAATACCATTTGCTATGTATGTAAATCTAATGTTTTAAAATACTATGAAACTAAAATTAGAAATAAACTCGAAGTGAAAATTTGTAAGATTATCCATAATCTTAATTTCAAGCTTTTCAGAACAAATCTATTGTTCATCAAAACTCACTGTTTTCAATGAGTGCTATAAATCTGAACTCATAAAAACACATTTATACCATTAACACACGCGCTTTTATTTATACACTGGATAACCATACAAATATTTCAATTGTAAAAAATATCCTGAAATTTAAAAGGTTTGACCAAAAAATTATTTGTGCCACCTAGTGGTGACTGAGATAAATAAGACTACTTAACAACAAAAGAATTGAGGGATTGAAGATGCCTATACTTTTGACAAATAAAACTTAATTGGGAGAAAAATGCTGACAATGTGATAACATTTAATATTTGAGATCATGTAAATGAAAGATACTAAAAAAAAAATTCCAGTAAAATCGGTTTAAAAGATCAATTTAAGAAAGGAGAGCAGTTTTCTGTCTACATGAGCAAGCAGAATATTTTGAAGTATGATGACGTCCATGTTTATCATCTCCGTATTATACGATATCAAACACCACAATACCTCCAAGTCATTAACTTCATTATGGAGATTTTCTTGTAATACAATAATTGATTGGAAAAGGGAGGAAAATAAAGAAAGCAAGGAGGATATTCTTAAATGATGAGGAGAAAATAAAACAAAACTATGGACAAGATTAGCCATTCCACTTTGTGCAGACTACTGAAAGAACAAAGATGAGGAATGTAGTGGTATAAAGAGAACAAAGGGCTTAGGTTTTCCTCCTTGGCTTTCAGTATGTATCCTAGAGCAGAATACTTGCCTTTCTAAACTCCTATACCTAGATCTATAAGCTGATATGACAGAATAAACTTATTATCCCTTTAAATTCTAGTATTCTACCAGGCAATCACAATAGAAGAAATATTCCCGAATCCTTAATAAAAAATAATTTTGGTGCTATGAACTTAATACAACAATTGGGAAACATGTAAGTAATAGTACTTAAGAGTTCATGGCAAACAGTAAGCGCATCATAAATATTAACTATCAGCAGACAGGAAAAGGTAAGAGAAAACAAAAGGAACAAAGAAAAGAAAGAAGACAGTCTAGCACACAGTGTTTTCTAATCCTAGTTTTGAGACTTATATATTTAATACCTTCCTCATAAATGTGAACCAAAAATAATCTGTCATCATTCTATATGAGACAGATGTCTTCACTTATTGTTATTTAGGGGAAATCAAATCATAACCTTTTAATAAGAAGCAAGAAAAACTGTCTCTTTACACTGATTTTTATTAAACAAATAAGGCTGGTAGTGGAACATATTTTTATTTAATGCATAAACATATAAGTCCCTTTATTAGAGAAACTGTATATATTGATGAATATGGTCAATGGTCACATCTATGGGTTAATTCTTTAAAAATCAGAACCAATAATTAGGATAGATTTTATGCTCTCTTCACTACATTGTGAAATGCCTTGTGTAGTCATATTCTATTGTTGGAATGACAGCTTGTACAAATTTCAAGAAAATAAGAAGATACCTAAAGGTTTAGTTAAGGAAAATAAGATTTGTAAACAGTTCTATGTTTTAAGCCCATGTTGTAATTATCCATTTTATTAAGCCATTAATTTCTCAAAAAAAACCAAAAACCCTTAAATTAAGTCTATTAAAGAATTCAACTATGCAAATTTGTGTCTATTTAACATGAGGCTCTTTAAGGTTATCTGACCACTCATTCTAATATTGAATTTGAAGCTTCTTAATGAGTAGGCGTTCATATAAGCACAATTACTTTGATATAAAAATAAAGGGACAAAGCTATACATGTTTAATCGAGTACAAAATGTACTCATTTACTAGACCCCTTTAAGTTTGCTAGAGTTATGTCAGAAAATAAGGCAGAATAGACTATAAAAGTACTGTAGCAAAAGAGAAAAAACTTAAATGAAAACCCTATATAGTAGACTGATTCTAGGTTACTGTATGTATTTGTCAGACTACTTTACTGGACTGTCTTTAATTAAATTCTGAAATTTTTTTATGTTCATTGCACTTAAAAACGTTAAGAGCTTACTTTTCATTGGAGGAAACCAATTACTATTATGAATTATATATAGACAGTCTTCCCAGTTGCTTCCTAGTATCCAGCATAGAGATGTGCCAGTTAGGCATAATAGGACTTTAGGAGTAAATATGGTTTGGACTGGAAGTTTTAGGTTTGTTTCAGTATCAAATCAGCTCATAGTTCTTCTTAGGGACACACTTTATTAGCAACGCCCCTCAGTCTGAGTCTCCATATCTAATCTAACACTTAGTAACAGAAACCACCACCATGTCAACTATTAACCTAGCATGAAACTAATTCAAGCTATCTGGCATCTTAATCACTGATTTTGACTGTGTGATGAATCTATGCTATGCGTACAGGTACTTTAGGATCCAACAGTTTGCTTGGGCATTAACTTGAATTTATTACTTTTGTCAATCCAAGAAAACTGAGTAGGAAAACTATAGTAAGATACAAGAAAGGTGCTACTGTCTTGAGAAAAATGAACATACTATATTTTAAGAATATCTAAAGCATTTCATGTAGTACATTAATTACTTTTTAATTTACCTATTTGTTTAAGTTGAATTATTTGCTTCAGAGACACCTCTGATTGACACAACCTATAATTTTACTTTTACCTGATGGGAAAGTACATTTTTGGTAACAAGTTAAATTGGAAATATACCTAAGAAAAAGATACTCATGTTATTACTCTAAATTAGTAGTTACCTCTGTAACAAGGCTGAGCTACTGCTACACATGGGGACATGTTCTAATCAGCTAAGCAAGGTGTAACTACCACAAAAAACATTTTCTAAATAAATTAAAGACTTCCACTAGGATTTTCAGATATGAGAAGTTAAAACAAGTTATAGGTACTATGTCATTAAGGTTACACTAAATTTCTCAAAAAAAAAAAAAAAAAAAATCCTAAAGCCATTTTGCCATTAATCCTACACACAGGGAAGGATACATATGAACTCCAAGTTCTCCCCCTCCTTCTGCAACAGTCTCAATGATTTTCTTCATCACCTCAGCATGCCTAGAAGCCAAAAAAAAAATTATTAATGTAGACCGATTAGACCAGAAGAGGAAAAACACATTTTCATTTGTAAAGAAATCGACCATATTACTGTCAGTGAATTAATTTTTAATATAATAGTTACATTACAAACTTATCTCTCCAACCACTCCCCAATAACTATAAAGTATTTATTAAAATAGTTAAATTATAAAATATCTCCCCTCCACTTCCAAAACACAAGATTATAGATTGTTATGCCATGCAAATAGTTTTACCAGTGGAGGGCGTAATCTTAAAAAGCTATGGTAGTCACAGCAGGCACAATGGCATTAGTTAGTGTTCTGATAATTCGGACAGATAAGGAAGGCAGAAAACCACGGAAGAGGAAATCATGCAGGAGAAAATGTGGAATGACAGCTGTTTGCTCTAAGAAACAAAAAAGAGTCATATCACGCAAATTAAAAAAAAAAAAGGCACATGGTGTCAGTTGGACAAAAAAGCAAAGAGGTATCTATAATCGTGTGATCTGGGCTGTTGATTTAGTTGAGAACAAGCCAAAACTGAGAGGGTTTAAGAAAAGCTAATTGGTCAGAGTTAAGAGGTTTGTATTTGTTTCTTTGTCCTAATGGGTATTCTAAAATTTATCCAATTCTATGTAAAAACAATTATTTTTGCTTATAAAAAGAAAGGTATTTATTTATATGAAGTTTCTATCCTATCTATACATCATGGCCAATTGGTATCTCTCCTGTGCTACAGAAAATAGTGGTATCAAAGTATCTAGGCACAGAAACTAAGAAAAAGACAATTTTTAAAGAAAGTCTTTTTAACATACCTTGGCTTAAATAATGCTGCTTCAGTTTTTACGACTATAACCTTCGATAGAGGCAGTCAACTTAGAATATGAGAGGGAATGTATCATTCCAGAGGATTTGAAGGCACAATCTGAGGCAGCCCATAGAATGGTCTAAAATATCCTTGAAGTTTTATTTTACAGGCACTCAGATTTTTTGAAATATTTGTATCCCATTCCACAATATAGTCATCTATTTTATTAAAATGTTTAACATAATTATCAGTTAAATTACTTTTCCCCCAACTGAGTAAATTTTACACCTCAGAAAGAAATATGCTTCAGTTTGATAAGCACCATCCTAAGACCTTAAACCATAAGAGGAATCAAGAGAATAACTCTAAAAACTGAAAACTTTTTAGATTACATAATTCAAAACTAAAGCTAATGGCTCCTAAATTATTTTTCATAGCTAGCAATTAAAGTTTCAGACATTAAAAAAATGAAAAAATGATCAAGGTCTCCCATGGGGTTAAAGTTTGAGAGTAAAGAGGTTGCAGAATACGAGAAGAAAATATTAAAGGTTGTTTTTAACTAGAGGGAAGAGAAAACGAAATGTTTCATCTAATTGGTCAACAGAATGAGTTTCACTGAAAAATACTGTTACTAGTATGTAACCAATATTCACTGAAAAAAACTTACTAGTATTTTCCAATCAACTGCGAAAGTTATCTATTAGAAATAACCAACCTAAAGAAATTAGCATGTAATAACTTTTTTTTTAAAGAAAAATTCTGAACAAATCATGTATATAGGTTTAGCTTCACAGATTTGGCTCTGTGAAAAGCCACTGACACAAAGAAAATCCCAATTTATAAACGCACTTGACTTGTTAAGGCTGACGAACTCTCAACTGAAGAACATACATACATATATCTCCCTTCACTAATCAATAAAAGAAAGCAAATAGGTCACCTAAAAAAATCACAAGGTTAACTCTATGGTCTACATTCACAGAAAAGCAGTCACAACACAGCAAACCATATCTAAATGATGACTATTTCTGAGTCAAAAACAGAATCTTCCAAACTGTTCTGGGAGCTAAAAAGTGTAGTAAAATCACAAAGATCCATCTATTCTACAAACACCCACAGAGAACAAAAAAATTTTTAACGTATTAAACTTAAATTGGTGAGTTGTTTTTTTTCCTTTTTCTTATATATGTAAGCACAAGAAAATTTCTAAGGAGGACAAGAGAGAATTTTACTTGTTTATTAAGAAAATTTTTTTCTGTTAGGGTCCTATGTTTCAAGATTCTCAAGTAACAAATCCATGAAATATACAATCACACCAAAAAATATATTTATCTCTACATATACATACCTGCATGGGTGAACTGAACACATAGGAGGTGGTGGCAGATGAGGGTGATTTTCAATGGTCACTGTTTTCTTCACATGATCTTGACTGATGTCTTCATACATGTGCTCAACTGTTAAAGGCTGCCTTTGCTGAAAGCATAAAAAATGCTGTGAAATTACTATTTAGGGCCGGGTGCAGTGGCTCACTCCTGTAATCCCAGCACTTGGGAGGCTGAGGCGGGTAGAACACGAGGTCAGGAGATCAAGACCATCCTGGCCAACACGGTGAAACCCCGTCTCTACTAAAAATACAAAAAATTAGCAGGGCGTGCTGGCGGGGACCTGTGGTCCCAGCTACTTGTGAGGCTGAGGCAGGAGAATGGCGTGAACCTCAGAGGTGGAGCTTGCAGTAAGCTGAGATTGCGCCACTGCACTCCATCCACCCTGGGCGACAGAGTGAGACTCCATCTCAAAAAAAAAAAAAAAAAAAAATTTACTATTTAGAAACTTTCAGCCTAAATCTCAAGGTTTCTAATATATTTAGTTCTCCATCTCACGTCACTTGCAATTTAGAATTCTAGACTGTTTAGAATGATTTCCAGGAAATTTTACAATTTATTAATATCAAGGGAAGGACAGGAAGGAGTCATAGCCAAGCTCTGTGACAGCTACCCCCTAATGCAGAAAAAAAATCTCACAAAAAGACAAGTTTGTGGCTGTCAAAACATTTTACAGCTTTGTAACTCATCTTTTAGACTGATTTTATTTTCTTGTTTCCCATACATAGCCATAAGAATGACAGATTAAACAAGTTAATCTTATATCAATTATCCTTTAATTCAATTAAGCAGATGAGTTTTCTGTCTTAAGGGGAAAAATACATACAACAATCCACTTTCTTCACATGTGACAATGGTCATTCTCTAAATGCCTACATACCCAACTGATGTATTCCCAAACAAAATTTAAATTTCCCTCACATTTTGAAGGCATAAGCTTAGAGGTCAAGGAATATGTAACAGACTATTTCTGTTTATGTCTTAGCATTATTGTTGCTACACTGAATAATTCATAGTTCATTCAAAATAAGAAAGAATCAAGTTCAACATTAATCATAAAACTGTAAAACAAATGATTTCCAACATTTAAAACACTACAATAAATACCCATGGACCTAATGAAGAAGAAATTAAACCCAACAATTTAAAATATTGATATTAAAATATAATGCTTCTAATTTTTACCTCATCATAGCCAAACAACCATAATCGTGGAGTCTGGTAATATTTATCATAAGTGATGTAAAGGTCGTAAGTTCTGGTTTGCAAAATAGCATCTTCACCGCCAGCATCAGTTTTGGCTTTACAAGCTTCTACTATTTTGCTTGTATCTAGGGTAGCCTGGCACATAATAAAAGAGAAAAATTTACAACCATTAAATCAGTATGAATGTGACATTCTAGAAAACCTATTTTTTCCATTCTATATTTTGTTTTCTTAAGGGTAAATGAACTTGAACTCAAAGCTAAATTGTATATGCTATAATCAATATGAACAAATTAGAATTTCTTTGAAAGATCAATATATTAATAAGAACACGAATCCCCAAGTTCATTCATTAAAAATTAACTAAAGAAAAGTCAATTTACAAACCTCATCTGTTTCCAACAATCCACTCTCTTCATATTCTGTTATAAAAAGCAACAAAAGATTAATCAAGTTCAAGAAAATTGCCTAAACCAATTTAAGTATTACTTCATAGTAGCATTCAAAAACTGGGATTTTGCCGTTGTTTTTAACAAAGATATTGAATAGATATAAGTGAGCTAATTTGATACTTCCAAAGGCAAAAGCCCAGAGAAAGTCAGCATGTTTAAGGCTTGACATAATAATGCTGTAGAGTCAGTCCTCAGTGGCTCCACAGTGTATACAAGGCTACTTCTATAACTGCATAAACATGTTCATTAAAGTCATCGGTGACCTCCTCTTTGCTGAATCCAGTGGTAAATTCCCAGTTTTCATCTTAATTGACCTATCAGGAACACGTGGCATTTTTTAGTCCCTTCTCCTTGGAACATTTTCTTTCCTTGGCTTTTAAAATATGGCTTTCCTCCCACATCACTGACTGTTGCTTCACTATCTTCTAGGCTGGTTCCCCTTCATCACCTCTACTTTAAAAGAACCATAAAATCAAACACTGCAGTAACCAAGGGCTCAGTTTCTGGACCTTGCCTCTCCTCTATCCACACTTATTTCTGTAACGATTTCATCCAGACTCAATGACTTTAAATATTGATGACTTTCAAATTTATTCCCTGCCTGCAGACTTGGATATTTGTTTATTTCACTTCTCCACTAGATAACTAATGAACACTGCAAATATCACACACATGTCTAAAACTGAGTTCCTGACTCCCTCTCCAAAGCTAATCACTCTTGATTTTTCCGCATCTCAGTTAATGGTATCTTTCTAGAAGCGCAGGTCAAAAACCTTGGAGTCACCCTTGACTACTCCGCTTGTCACATATGACATCCAATCCAGCAGCAAATCTCTTTGGCTCAACTCTCAAAATATTCCAGAATTCTACTGTTTCTCACCACTACCAATGTTATGACCCTAGCCCAAGCCACCATCTTTTCTTGCCTAGATTATCAAAACAGCCCCCTGCTGTCCCCTTCTCCCTTCAGTCTATTCTTACCACTGCACCGTGGTTGTGTTGAAATGTTAAATCATGTCGCTCCTCTACTTGAAAAGAAAAAACCCTCCAATGGCTTCTCTCACTCTGAGTTATGTCAAGACCTTATAGAACCTGGTCCCTGGTTACCTGACTCCACCCTTTACTACTCTCCCTTCTCTCCTATCTGGACATAAGCATACCTTACAGTATTTTACATAAGCCACACACATTCCCACCTCAGGACCTTTGCACTCTTCCCTCAGATACCTAGTTTCATTCACTTCCTTCCAGGCTTTATTTTAATGGTGTGTACTTTCAATTAGGTTTTTCTTGACCAACTTATTTAAATTGCAACACTCATTCCCACCCCAAGATTCTCTAGCCCTTTCCTCCTTTATTTTTTCCTTAACAATTATAACTAATACAGTATATCTTTTGCTTATCTATTTTTTGTCTCCATTGATTAGAATATAAACTCCATGAAATCATGTCTACTGCTTTAGCTCCAACACTAAGGACAATACCTGATAAATACTGTACTGCCCAATAAATAATTTGTTCAATAAATGAAAATACGTTTATATTAGATACCATCAACACTATTGTTGAGCAAAATTACATATATAGCAATTCTTTAACTCTATCTAGGGGAAATATAATAAACATACTAAATGACTATCAGATATTTAAGGCAATCGCACAGCTTGTACTTTGAAAACAGTGCTTTAATCGAAGGGTTCTATGCCACCCCACCAACCCAACTTGGTCAACTATGCCATTCAGAGACAGATGAAATCCAGAAATAATATTTGTGCAAGAAGGTGATGAGTTCAGTTTCTGACAACTATGAGACATCCAGGTGGAAATGAAACTGAAATAAATCTGAAGTTGAGAATATCTAGGCTAGAGAATTCGATATGGAAGTCCCTAGCATACAGATGGTATGTGAGGCTGCTGTGATCAATTCTGGTTACAAGTAATTCATTCAGATTTCCTTAAGGAATAGCAGTTTACTATGAAAGTAAGGACAAGAATCTCACTGAAATTTAGGAACAGATATAGCTAGGTTTCATGGGGAATTGAAAGTAATTTTGAAAACAAACAGAAAGGTACTTTTTTGGTCCAGCAAGCATCACGTGCCATTATGGTGTTTCAACTCTACCTGGCACCATCTTCTACTTCTGCATACTACAAAACACAATCTATCTCACTCTAAAGTCTATGTATTTTTGGGATTCAGCTGCCTTACAGCCTTCAATGCCTGCCCTTTTTTCATATCCTTTTCCTTTTTCTGACTTCTTACACATGCACCCTGTTTACATATATAAATATATTCATATTTAAACTCTCACAAAGTATTGGATGTAATTTATACGCTATCTTTCTTGTTGCAGAAATTCTCATGCCAGACTACAGAATGCCATTACAGAAGAAAAAATCTGGCAGTACAGAGAGTAAGCAAGGAAAAAAAAAAAAGAAAGAAAGAAACCCATGAAACAGTAACATTTAATTGCTGAGGGAAAGAAAAGAATCATAGATTACTAGAAGAAAGAGTCCAGGAAAGAGGAAGAAAACCCAGTGTTATAGAAACCAAAGGAGGAAAAAAAAGAGGAAGATACGGTTAACAGAATCAAAGCAGAAAAGGTAAGTGTAATAAAGATAAACTGGATTTAACAAAGAGGTCACCCTGGTGACAGCAATTTTTTCATCGACTTTTAAATATCTGAGGTTTCAAATGTATTGAAAAAGATTATCATGCTCATGAAATACAAAGCTTTGAATAACCATGTGCTAACAGACCCATACTTCTCTGATTTTAGTGGGTTTCTCTCTCTTGTAACAATGATTCACTAATGCAGTGATTCTCAACTGGCAACTCTAGGAGGAGGACTTCTCAGAATCTTGGGAAACTGAGGGGATTCTGTGTAGTTCAAAAGGCCCCATTAGCCAGGCACAGTGGCCCACACCTGTAATCCCAGCACTTTGGGAGGCCAAGGTGGGCAGATCATAAGGTCAAGAAATCAAGACCATCCTGGCCAATACGGTGAAACCCCATCTCTATACTAAAAATACAAAAATTAGCTGAGTGTGGTGGCGTGCATCTGTAGTCTCAGTTACTCGGGAGGCTGAGGCAAGAGAATCACTTGAACCCAGGAGACGGAGGTTGCAGTGAGCCGAGATTGCGCCACTGCACTCCAGCCTGGTGACAGAGTGAGACTCCATCTCAAAAAAAGAAAAAAAAAAAGGCCCCATTGAAACTATCTTCAGGTTTTAGTAGAAAGATGCTATCAAAGAGGGAAAAGAAAATACAAAATGCATAATAAGCAAACTTTGTTCTGCTCTGAAATAATTTGGTTAGGAATTAGTATCTTGCAGCTGTACCCAGTATTAAATATTTATGCCTAGTAGTTATTCCAATAAAAATGATGTTGTCCAAGACTATGTTCGGAGTAAAACAGAAGAGTCCAAGATCAAGGTAAGTTTTACACCAATGAAATTTTCATAAACTAAACATATATAAAATATACCATAGGCTGCTATATGCTAAACTTACAACTCAATGAAGAATTCTCAATCCGCATAAATTACAAATATTCTAAATCAATATTCTAGTGGAATTGAAGCAAATCTAGAACAGGGATACCTTCCATATCTGCAGCTTCTCCTTCATCTTCCTCTTCTTCCTCTTCACATAGTGCTGAGCAATCTTGAAGTCTTATATTGTCCTTTGAAATTAATTACATTTAAATTCACTTAAATATATTCAATATTTAAACACTGAACACCCATGTGCTAGCACAGTGGTAACCACTGTGAAAATAAGAATGATAAGGCAGTTCTTCTCCACAAAAAACTTAAACTCCAATGGAGATAATGAATTCATACATCAATCATTAAAAGTAATGTGCTAAGTGCTGTGACTGAAAAATAACAAAGGTTATTATGGGAGCAGTAAGAGTCATCTAAGCTAACTATTTAAAAATAATCGCCAGTTGCACTTCCAATAAAACAGTATTTTTGGTCAATCAATTCATTAGTATTAGAAAATCAGGTCAATATTATATTAACTTGTGCACTTATAATTTAAGGGGAAAAAGTGCATATATTTATAAATCAAATATATTATAAGCTAAAATATAAATCAAGCACTATTACACTCTAATTTGTTAACAATATCCTAGCTGAATTAGGCAAGTTGTCGGACTTTACAATTATTAAAATGCACAAAATATCAGTTTAATTTCTTAACTATATTAGCTCTAGAGTGAAAGAACAATACTGACCAACAGGTTTAACATCTGGCTATTGTTTTCACAAAATTAATATTCTGAAAATCTGAAGTCAACATAGTAAGTGGATAAATTGAACATTTAGTTTTACCTAGGTTACATTTTACTTAGGGGTGGTTTTATTTAACACTGTATGTTTAAAACTTAAATCATTCTTACACCCAAAATTGAAACCACAAAACCACTGTCAGTGTCTCAGTAATTATTATATGAGCTATTATCTAACAAATTAATCATTAAGAAAAATTTTCATCATATTAGTGATATTTATACTTGATAAAGTAGAATACAATAGAAATTGACAACCAAGATTAATACTCGCGTTTGGATGGCAAGTATTCTAAGTTATAAAAAAATTAAAGGTATTACCATAAGCCCATCCACGAAAATCACTATCTACACTACTCTGCCATTTATCATTCCCAAAGTCTGAAGCATACATGGTAATGGTCAGAGTAAAAAAGATCTTCTGAAACAGCAAAGCAATTTGTGTGATTTCTCCTTAAGTCATTCAAACACTCCAAAAAGTCGAATTTCAAAATGAAGAATTCTCAGGCCAAATAACTAAATCTTAAAGCATAAAACTGTACCAAAAAACCCCACAAAACTTGTCTTAATTTCTATCACTTTCTGTTAAGCCCCAGTTACAAATCCGGAAAGGTCCAAATGACAAAATCACACAAAGAATATCTTTAGTAACTGTTGTAGCCAATGTGTCGTAAGACTAGCAACACAATTATTCCACCTAAATAGTCTATCCTCTAAGTGATCTGACGGATAAAAAAATAACTAAGACAAGGGTGAGAGCATTTTATATTATATTTTCATATCATTTCAAACAACTACAGGTATATAAAAACATGAAGACAACTGCAACTGATCTCTCTGAGAAACGAAAAGCTAATCTAATACCTACGACAGCCTAAAATAACTCAGAATTTCCAAGCAGAAAAACTCTATCCAATTATGTTTTACCCCATAAGTCATGCAATAAAACTTAACTGATTAAGCTTCTATTCATTCAAAATGTTACAAATTTGAATGATGCAAGCTAAAGTTTGCTTTCAAATATTCAAACAAATAAACCCCAAATTACCAGTAGTTGAAGAAAATACAGAGAATGATTAAATTGCTTATGGCACTATTTAACCTATAAAATTTAAATGTTAATATATCCTTAGCATCTACTAGTAAGCAAGTAGTTAATTCCACCCCAAAATTCTCTACTTACATGACATTTGGTACCTAAATACATTTTAAAACAAAAGTCATCTCTTTTAAACTAGCCTAGAAGTCACTCCAGTCAGTGAAAATTAGTAGTTTGCACAAGCTACAATCTAAAAGCTGTTTTACTTAACCATACTGCAAATTAAGGAAAATAAGAGATGCATTAGGCAGCAGTAGCGTTTTGGTGTGTTGAGACAAAAAAATGAATGGGGAAGAAAGCTGGAATTTAAAAGAGCTTGATAATAAATAACCAGGGTTTTTATAAGACAGATATGGTGATTATATATGTGTGCGTAGAGATAGATAGATAGATAGGCAAATAACTAGTCATTAAATTTAAAAATATAATTAAGCAGTACCTTGTTTTCCAGTGTGATCTCTTTAACTGCTTCGGTTATTCCTGTAATACCTATGTAAAATTCAGCAGAAAAGAATAATTAAAATTAAACTGCAAACACCCTATTTACTTATTAAAGTACTATAAAAATGCTGAAAATTCTCACAATTTCTCTGAAAAAAGGAGGCAAATAATAGTAGTATCTTTACAAATGAACTCTAATAAGAATAGTCACAATGACACCTCCTCAAATTTTGATAAACTCATTAATATTTTACCATGAATTATCCTGCCATTCTTCACTTATTATTCCTTACTTTCCTTGTTAGAATCTCTATCACACTTTCTCAGAAATAGAACAGTTTGACCAGCTGCTACAGGTATATAAAAACATGAATTAGAAAATCAGGTCAATATTATATTAACTTGTGCACTTATAATTTAAGGGGAAAAAGTGCATATATTTATAAATCAAATATATTATAAGCTAAAATATAAATCAAGCACTATTACACTCTAATTTGTTAACAATATCCTAGCTGAATTAGGCAAGTTGTCGGACTTTACAATTATTAAAATGCACAAAATATCAGTTTAATTTCTTAACTATATTAGCTCTAGAGTGAAAGAACAATACTGACCAACAGGTTTAACATCTGGCTATTGTTTTCACAAAATTAATATTCTGAAAATCTGAAGTCAACATAGTAAGTGGATAAATTGAACATTTAGTTTTACCTAGGTTACATTTTACTTAGGGGTGGTTTTATTTAACACTGTATGTTTAAAACTTAAATCA